TGTTTAGGGTGATCAGATGTCCTGATTTTATAGGGACAGTCCTGATATTTGGGGCTTTTTCTTACATAGGTGCCAATTACCCCCCACCCCTGTCCTGATTTTTCACACTTGCTGTTTGGTCACCCTACTGTTGTTAGAGTCACTTAAAACTGGAATGGACAAATCAGTGTGAAATACAGTGCACTGAGCAATCCTGCATTGGCAATAAGGGATGCACTACATGACCTAATAGGCTTGATTGTTAAGGGAACCTAAACCTGGCAGAAAGGAAGGGGAAGTGGTCAGAGAAACTGGCCAGGATGTTTCAGTGAGACACCTGAGACACTCAGAGAGAGGGACCAGGCTTCAAACAGCATAGGCTGTTTCTCCCAACTCAGAGACGGGAAATAAGCCAGATCCTCCCGAGTTATGGATGGCAAGGTTAAGTTTAGGTCAGGCAATATGTGTGAAAATCTTTGTTATTTTAAATCCACCTCTTTATGTGTTGTGTACCTTTTGGGCAAAATAAATCATGCCTTGTTTTGGAGACTCAGTTTCACTGCAAATGTATGCCGTCAGAGGCTTCCGAAGAGAAACCTCTGCAGGATCTGGTCCCCATTGGACCTGCTAAGTTAGTCATGGTTGGCATGTAGGGGACTGTAAACCCAGGTGCTAGTCTGAGAGTGGTGAACTGCAGAGTTCCACCCCAGGAGAGGTGGGGTCCATGACCTGACACCTGTTGGGGCTGCACTCAAAGTGACCGAGAAGGGACAGTGGTGCAGCGAGCCTGGTAACTGTGACAGGCTTTTTTTAAAAACCAAGCCAAACCAGACTTTTCTATCTCCCATTTTAATTATTCTAGGATATACCAGGCTAAATTCTACTCTCAGCTACACCCACTGAAGTTGCCCGGGGCTGCAGGGCTGTTACTGGAAGAAGAATCTGAATCACTGTCTGTAAAACATATCCCACAACTTAGTCTGCTGGGAAGGAGCACAAGCCAATGCTACTCATCCACTTTATGTCTAATGGACTTAAAGAAGGTGGAGAATTGGCTTAATGCTATCTTAAGGCACATGCTCTGATATTATTACATTTCCCCCAATCCAATAAGTAGTGCAAATCCCAGGATGTTGCTGAAATCTGAGGTTGACTCGCTTGCTCAACATCAAACCAATTCTGAAGGAATCTTGGCTGGGCATGTGTGTCTATGCCTGTAAGTGCATATGTGTGTGTGTCTGTGTTAACTGCAAGCTGGTTCCAAATGGGATGATTCATTTAGGACACTGGTTTAAAAAAACAAAACAAAACAAAACAAAACAAAGCCAAAATGCAAAGGTTTATGCTGTCTCTTAATCATCTGATTAAAGTTTCATCAAGTTTATCTGACAGAGTTTGGAGGCTTCTTCCTTGTCAGTCTCATTTTCCACACTTTCTCTCTCTGGTGTATTGCAGCTAGTGGTCCTTTAAATGTTTCCTCTTAATAAATATGCTGGCTGACTCCAGAACAATACTTCGGGGAAATGCTGTATGACAGTTCAGGAAATAAGCTGCTGTTAATATTACTGAAAACTTTCTAGTTCGCCTCCAACACACTTGATTGCACTTTCCATTTCATCTCCTTAACTGCTTCTATCCTTTCCTTAAGCATTCTGTAAGAGGGAAATTATCGTTGTTTCCCACAGAAGAGGTCAACTGATATAGCATAGCAGATGGTAAAAATAAGGCTACAAAAGATATTCAGTGACCTAAAACATGGGCACAGAGGTCTTAACACATCAGATCAGCTTGTTGGGCCATCAAGTCTTGCAGTGATCAGGCAAAGTGTTTAAGCATGTGCTTACTTTGCGCATATAGGTAGCATTGATGTCAATTGGACTATTTATATGCTTACAGTTAAGCACATGCTTAAGTGCTTTGAGGCACAATTCATAGAATCATAGACGATTAGGGTTGGAAGAGACCTCAGGAGGTCATCTAGTCCAACCCCGTGCTCAAAGCAGGACCAACACCAACTAAATCATCCCAACCAGGGCTTAGTCAAGCCAGGCCTTAAAAACCTCTAAGGAAGGAGATTCCACCACCTCCCTAGGTAACCCATTCCAGTGCTTCACCACACTCCTAGTAAAATAGTGTTTCCTAATATCCAACCTAGACCTCCCCCACTGCAACTTGAGACCATTGCTCCTTGTTCTGTCATCTGCCACCACTGAGAACAACTGAGCTCCATCCTCTTTGGAACCCCCCTTCAGGTAGTTGAAGGCAACAAAAATGATTAAAGGTCTAGAAAACATGACCTAGGATGGAAGACTGAAAAAATTGGATTTGTTTAGTCTGGAGAAGAGAAGACTGGGGGGCACATGATAACAGTTTTCAAGTACATAAAAGGTTGTTACAAGGAAGAAAAATTGTTCTCTTTAACCTCTGAGGATAAGACAAGAAGCAATGGGCTTAAATTGAAGCAAGGGCAGTTTAGGTTGGACACTAGGAAAAACTTCTTAACTGCCAGAGTGGTTAAGTACTGGAACAAATTGCCTAGGGGAGGTTGTGGAATCTCCATCGTTGGAGGATTTTAAGAAAAGGTTAAACAAACACTTGTCAGGAACGGTTTAGTTATTATATAGTCCTGCCTTGAGTGCAGGGGACTGGACTAGATGACCTCTTGAGGTTCCTTCCAGTTCTACACGTCCATTATTCTATAAGCCAAACCACACTCTATGGGGTAATAAAATCAACTGGATTTGATGGTACTTAGCAAGGGTTTGGCTTTACAAAATTTACTTTATCAGTACTTAATTTAATTAACTTGAGGCTGGGCTATGATCACTGAAGCACAAGACATTACAGGAGAGGCAGAGTTGCTAATTTAATGATGCTATGCAAAGGGTTTTGTTATTATTTCAGAATTAATGTCTTAGGTAAAACAATCGGACATCGTTCCACTTGATGTTTTGAGTCAGAATGAGTTTCCGTCAGACTCAAGGACTTCATATCATAAAAAGAATTCCCAATATTAGAGCATAGGGTCATTCTGGATAAGGGAGGTGCTGATTGATGTTCTAGGAAGAGGGAAGTTAATTAATTTTATAGCCTAAGGAGCCTGGGCTATTAAAATTCCCCTCCCCTTTTGTTTTTTCCCACAGAGAAAGAAAGAGAGATAGAATAAGAGAGCAATTGCTGTGTAACAACTAAATATAGTTAAGTACGCTGAGTTTGTCAGGATAGAAATACAGCAGTTCAATTGGAAATATTTATATGCACTCTCAGGCACACTTGAGCTGAGTCAGTTTCATTAGCACTAATGAAAACTTGATTTGCCGGGGCTGTCATTTGAGTCACAGATCCTGCGATTTTCCAGCGAGCGTGATTTCACTGAATTGTTTGCATGCTCCGGAGTCAGTGTGCAAGAGGATAGTGAAGGGGAAAATTTTCAGAATTGTGCCCATACAAGTGGCCAGCTACATGCAAAACTGGTCTATTGAATGTGCAGTTCCTGTGCACTGTTGCAGTGATACGTACATTTGGCACCCAAATGCATTTTTTGCACATTTCCAGTTTTGAAAATCTGGCCATGAGAGTTTTTAGAGAACAACTCAGAGGACAACACTAGCGGCTAGTAGACGGCAGTAGATCAACAACAACAGTGCAGGGACATAGGAGACCAATGGGTTCACATTGGGCCTAACAAAGCACTACTGGACCATCAGGGCAGTATGGAACAACCAGGTGAGGAAGAGAGCTAGGAATTCGTTAAAGGTTAAAGACATTGTTTGTTTGAAAAAGCAAGCATAGGGCTGTAAAAGCTATAGAATGGGGAGGGGGCAGCTGGTGACTCCAGGTACCCAAGAAGTCCTGAGTTGTTCCCAAAACATTTTACCATTTGGAGACCTGAATGTGCCATGATATTGTGGTAACTAGATGGCCTGTTCATGACTTCTCATACTTTTTCTGAAGACTTGAAACATTGTTACTATGACTCCTCTCTCCCCAACATTTATCATTACAAAACCTGCAGCTGCAAGAATTATTAGGACTGATCATTAACTCTGGCCAGTGGCTTAATATCTGACATGACTCTTATTGGCTGACTGTACTCTTCCCAGGCAGGAGGACAAGTATGATCTTATAGGACTAGTTGATATATAGTGACTTTACTAGGATGCTATGTTTGCTAGCAACTGTGCTATCCTTAAAAGGTTATATGGAGCTCACAGAAAGATATAGGCAAGTTCCATGAGCCTCCCACTTGAACAAGAAGTAGAGTGGTGGAACCTCAACACATCCAGGGTTTTAACCATCTCCCTTTCTTTTCCAATGGGAGACTCAGAGAATTAGCAAAGCCTCTATGTATCTTCTCACCTGCTTTAGTTTCAGTCTGGGGTGAGATGTGTCTGTATCAGGGGTTGGAAACCTCTGGCACGTGGCTTGCCAAGGTAAGCACCCAGGTGGGCCGGGCCAGTTTGTTTACCTGCCGCCTCTGCAGGTTCGGCCGATCGCGGCTCCCACTGGCCGTGGTCCGCCGCTCTGGGCCAATGGGGGCAGCAGGAAGCCGTGGCCAGCACATCCCTCAGCCCGCGCCGCTTCCCGCAGCCCCCATTGGCCCAGAGCAGCGAACCACGGCAAGTGGGAGCCACAATCGGCCGAACCTGTGGAGGCGGCAGGTAAACAAAGTGGCCCGGCCCGCCAGGGTGCTTACCCTGGCGAGCCGTGTGCCAGAGGTTGCCAACCCCTGGTCTATATACTGCCTATGGTTTGAGATAAATTCCTGCCCACAGGATTGCTTTTGGATACTAGACTGGACAGATGGGATCAAAATCACCTCTGATGTAATTCCACTGGCTTCAACAGAGTTACACCGGGAATGAATTTGGCCCATGGATACATCAACAAATTATATGAAACACACAAATGAGATAAAAAAAAAGAGACTGGTAAAAAATCAAAGGGAATGTGGATTTCAGCTCAGCATAAAGCCCCACTCCACCCTGGCTTCACCTAACGAAACACATGCTGCCAATTACCTTTTTGCTTACTGACTTTCCTTACTGTCATTGCCGCTTGCCGCTTTTGATTTTCAGAAATTTCAAAGCCTGGAAAAAGGGAACATGGCAAAGAGTTCAGAAAATCGCTTTCCAACCCTCTTTTTCTGAATATTTCTTCATGCATCATTTATGAAACTAATAACCCCTGGGTGGCAAAGCACTGCCTGGTGGGGCTACCCACACAGAGAGATATTTTAATAAAAAACAAATTTTCTTTTAAAGCAAAGCCTCACCGTGACATCACTTGGGAGGAGGCTGCCTAAAAAGCAACCTTATAAACATTATTATTTTTAGCATTATTTATACTGTGCCATAAATGAACACATTACTTAACGAATGAGCAAGAGACAATAAGCCAGATGCCAATCTTGGTTACAACAACCTTTTGTGGTAGTACAGAGAGGAGGGAAAGGCTGGTAGATCAGTGAGTCTGTCTGCCTTTCTCCCTGCAGTGGTGGTGCTTATCTTAGGGCAGAAATTACTGCAGCTGTGAGGCTTTGCTGCCTCTCAGTGGTTGGGGACTGTACATTTCTCTCTCCTGCATCATCTTGTGGAGTTTCCTTATGCTGAAGCTTGAAGCCAAGGGCAGCATTTGCTCCTAAATGAGCAAATCTTCACAGCAACTCTGAGTTAAGCCAGGGAGGTTATAATGAAGTTAAACTATAATTCTAGAGCACAGTAATTTGGCCTTCTCCCCCCTAGAGGGCAAAACCCAACAGCCACCATCCCACTGATTTTCGATCCCTTACCTATCTTTTCATCTTCTTGAACCATCTTTCTTTCTTCTCTGAAAGCTCTGAGCCATCGCAGTTTCTCCTCCAGCTTCTTGGCAAAGAATAAGTGAATTTCCTCGGTCTCCTTGTTATGAAGTTTGAAGGCATTCTTCATGCTGACGTTGAAGTCATCATCTCTCCCGTCTTCTATATCCACCACTTCATATTTATCCATGTCAATGCGACCTTTGTAATACAGGATATCTCTTCGTATCAGGTCCTACATGAAAAAGAAGTGATGCATTTTATTCTAGGTGGACTGAAGCCTATACCAGGTCTTAACTAGGCTTGGCAGAATTCAATTTTTATTTTTCATAACTTTGAGGGATTATATTGATGTTTATGTTTACACATTTGTAGAGATTTTTATCAGTTTAAATTGTTGAGGTTACTGGAGATTATGGGGATGTCCGACAATGTGGGGAGGCAGACAGTAATTATGTAATGACATTAGATGCTGAGATTCAAAAAATTAAAGCTTTATAAGCATTAAAACACCAATTGCCACCATCACATGTAAAAATATATATAAAGTAACTATCCTTAAATCAAACTCTAATAAGTTCTCAAGCAGCATTTTTCTTACTTTGCCTATCTTTAAATTTTGATGAACACTGATGGAAATATTTTTTCATTGATTTGTGTGTGTATGGTGGAATTGACCTTTACTGACCAATAAAAATCTAATCTTTCCAAATCTAGTCTTAATCATTTGAAACATTGTAGTTTTCTTTCAGCACAGAAATGAAAGGGTTAATTTGCAAAATATGATCTAATTCTTAGAACTTCATTTGCTGTAAATACCGTATATACTCGTTCATAAGCCGAATTTTTTTAGTAAAAAAGGGAATCACCAGAGACGGGGGTCGGCTTATGAACGGGTATAGAGAGGGAGAGGTGGGACACGGCCCCTCCCCCCAACAGAGGGAGCAAGGAGAGGCAGCACAGCCAGCGGAGCCAGAAGGGAAGAGGAGGGGCCAGAGTCTCTTCGATTCTGGCCACGCTCCTCTCCCCCCAGCCTCCGAAGCAGCTGCAGCTCCGGGGCTGGCAGGCTGCAGCTGTGCCGCTTGGCCCCGCCCCCAGAGCAGGCTGCGGCCACGCCGCCTGCTGCGGGCATGCCACCCGGCCCAGCCCGCTGGAACATGCTGCGGCTGCGCCGCCCGGTCTGGCCCGCCGGAGCAGGCTGCGGCTGCGCTGCCCAGCCTGCCAGAGCAGCTCCAGCCAGGCCAGAGACATCCTCCCCTGGCCCTCCCCAGGTAAGGTGGGAAGAGATTGGATGGGGAGAGTGTGGGGGTCCCGGGCTAGGGGTGGGGTCATATGGGGAGTGGTCACAGGGGTTACTCCCGACTCCCAGCTTCTCCCCCCCCACATAAAAATTTCCTCACCAGTTGCTGTCCCGGCCCGTCAGGGTAAGCAGCTGGCGCGCCGGGACACTTTGTTTACTTAGGTTTACCTCCGTGCCTGCAGATGCTCAAGGTAAACAAACCATTGGGGGGGGGGGGGATAGCTCAGTGGTTGGAGCATCGGCCTGCTAAACCCAGGGTTGTGAGTTCAATCCTTGAGGGGGCCACTTAGGGATCTGGGGCAAAAATCAGTACTTGGTCCTGCTAGTGAAGGCAGGGGGATGGACTCAATGACCTTTCAAGGTTCCTTCCAGTTCTAGGAGATAGGATATCTCCATTTATTATTATATCTCGGCCCACCAGTGGCTTATCCTGATGGCCCGGGAGACAAAGTTTGCTGACCCCTGAATTATAGGGTCGGCTTATGAACGGGTTATAAAAATTTTCCATTTTTACTTATCCATCTTGGGGGGGTCAGCTTATAAACAAACCGGCTTATGATCAAGTATATACGATACTTTAATTTTTGGCTAAATTAATAGGGTAGATAAAGGCTAGATACGATAAAAATGTACACTTGATATAACCCTCATGCTTTGGGGCATAAAATAGCCACTATTAACTGCTTGTGATCAGGAAGAAACTTTCCCCAGCAAGTAGTTTATTCCATGACTGACGATTACATGGATTTTACACCTTCTTCTGAAGCATCTGGTACTTGGCACTGTTGTGCAGATGACAGGAAACTTGACAAGAGGGACCACTAATCTGATCTGGTACCTATGCTCCTAAAGTGGTTCACAGAAATGTACAAACTGGAGATAGAAAAGGGTAGACCATGGGTCAGCAACGTTTGGCACGTGACTCGCCAGGGTAAGCACCCTGGCGGGCCGGGCCAGTTTATTTACCTGCAGACGCGGCAGGTTCAGCCGATCACGGCCCCCACTGGCCGCGGTTCACTGTCCCAGGCCAATGGGAGCGGTGGGAAGCCGCGGCAAGCACATCCCTCGCCCGCGCCGCTTCCCGCAGCCCCCATTGGCCCGGGACGGCGAACTGCGGCCAGTGGGGGCCGCGATCGGCCGAACCTGCCGCGTCTGCAGGTAAATAAACTGGCCCGGCCCGCCAGGGTGCTTACCCTGGCGAGCCGCGTGCCAAACGTTGCCGACCCCTGGGGTAGACCTTATAGGTCATTTTGCACATTAGCTCCTAGTAGACTTGTGCTTTGTCCAAGCTAGTTCTAAATATCACAAGAGAGGGGGGTTTCCCACCACTTTTTCCACTCTTACAGACTTCATTGCTGGGAACATTCAGCCTGTAATTACCCTTAGCTCAGTTCCATCCCATTATGCTTGGGATACTTCAACATTGTTCTCCCTCCATGATATTTATACCTTTCAGTATTATGTATGATCACCCCTCGGCTTTCCTCTCTCCCTTTGTTTTAATGGTCCTTTCTCCCACCTTTACCATTTTGGGGAGGAAGAAGAAAAATCATTATTTGTTATTACTGTTTAATGGCTCAGCTAAAAATGCACACGATTCATTGAGCCGCTTGACACGTCTAGCACACCCAGGGCCCCATTGCTGCTGCTGTTTTTGCCACCGTGCTCTGCATCAGCTGTCCTGATTCCTTGAACTGAAGCATAAACTGTGTTCACTGCAGATGCCTGAAAAAGCTGCGGGAAGGTGTCACTAAATAAGTACGCTGAGAGATGCTATGTCAGTTTATCAGACAAAGGTGTGAAAATGCAGGTTTGAGGATTTGTAAGCGAAAAACATCACTCAGACATTTTTCTCTCCCTCCTTCCCCCCAAAAAGAGGATATAAAATAAATACCGAGAAGCCTGATTCTCCTTTTGCTTACACCAGTTTTACAACAGTAACATTTGTATTATCTGCAGTGGAGCTTTTCCTGATTCACTCTGACGTACTGAGCAGAGAATCAGGCCTGCTGTATAAACTATTTATATGACCACAGCATAAAAAAGCCAGGTCATCAGAAAATAGCAGATTAATCAAATAGGAACCTGATTCTATATGGAGAACCAGTTATAAGGCTTTAATATTTAAATAGCCAATTTGAACAAGACAAAATTAAGGCTAGGTTCTTCCGCAGGACTCATAAACCAATACTCGGTTGTACAAAGTTCATTTATCTTGATCATTTAAACAGCAAGCCATTTTCCTTCCTATTTTATTTTTCAACTATTTTGAAAATGCAATAAAGATAAATAACATATCAGAGGAATAATCTAACAGCACCAATAAAATCAAAGCACAACATTTATGTAATTGAACAAGATTAAATGGTGAATGTCCTTAGGATATGTCTTATAAAAATTCCTGAAATAAAGAAAACAAATGAACTTGGCATAAGATCTCACAAGAGCTGTTTTATGAATCTGCTTAATGGTATTAATGATGGTGAGAGAGGATAATGTCTAGAAGCTTTTAGTCTTAATATTTCCCCTAAAACTCCCAATGAAACAATCCATTAAACAATATGCTTTGCAAGTATCTTATTCTAGCAAAGTAGGGAAAGAAAAGACAGGAAATTTCAGGCTGAATGCATAATGGAAAACTTTCTAACAATAGGATGTATTAAATTGTGATATAATTTCCCATTAGAATAGGTAGAAACAACCCTGTCATTTAAGAAAATTACCCTGGTCAAAACACTTAGGGCAGGTCTATGCTTAAAATGCTGACGCGGCGCAGCTGTGCTGCTGTAGTGCTTCAGTGAAGATGCTACCTATGCTGACAGGAGGGCTTCTCTCATTGGCATAGGTACACCACCTTCCTGAGACGCAGTAGCTACATCGATGGGAGAATTCTCCCATTGACTTAACACTGTCTATACCAGGAGTTAGGTTGGTTTAACTCTGTTGCCCAGGTTGCCCTCCCAACTCACAGGGTCCTAGAGCCCGGGCTCCAGCACAAGCCCCAACATCTACACTACAATTAAACTGCCCCGCGAGCCCCAGTCCTGCAAGCCTGAGCCCCGTAAGCCCAAATTAGCTGGCATGGGCCAGCCCCCGGTTTTTAATTGCAGTGTGGACATATCCATAGTTTCACAGGTGCCCCTGAGGGAACAATATGAAAATGACAGGGTTGCTTTCTGTCACCAAGGGAAGAATATGAAAGCAACAGAATTCCACATGTGCCACTGGGGGGCAACATGCAGCCCAGAAAATATTTATTGCTGGTGAAGATGCACTAGCAAGAAAGAAGCCAGTTTGACCATCAGATCCCAGACTGAATTTGCATAGTGGACAGTTAGAAGAAACACCTTTTTTTCTGTTCTTGTACATTAAACAATTTGATGTGGAAATCACTGTAAAACAATAAACATGAAGCCCCTGTCACTTTCACAAAGCTGACTTTAGATAAAAGAACTGCATATTAAGAAAACATTTTTTTAAGGAAGCTAGATCACCTTTTCTTTTTCCACCAGGCTCCCTAGAGTCTTTAGCCTTAAGCTTAACAGGAATTTTCAGCCACCTGAGGGATGCTAGGCAATCCCAAGAATATAAAAGAAACATATTGAAATTGACAAAAGACTAAATAATTCAAAGTGATACATAATGGCTACAGAGTTCAAACATAGTACATCTTAGAACCCATGCCAACTGCTCCATGCATTCAACAAATTCCCTTTTTGCTACTATGGGAAACAGGAAGAAGGAACATTCTCCACTTTTTAGCTGTATATTCTAATCTAACATGCCTGAACAGCGAGTTGTTTTCAGGGGTTCTTGAATGTTCACAGTGTTAAGAGCAAGAGGAGGTCTGTACAAATCCACAGAAAACAAAAAGTGTCTAGGGCTGGAATAGTCTTGCCAGTACCATTGATTTCCCAGAAAGTTCAGTCCCAGCA